TGGAAGAGGGCCATAAAGGACTGAGAGTTGTTTTGCATTTTTGTCCATTTCGTGGGTGTCTACAACAAAAAAAGATTTCTCACCTACCAGCCAACCTTCTAAGCCTTTCCATGCTTAGCTTGGCTCATCCATGGATAGCAGACAAAGTCTATTCCTGAGCCATTCTCAAAGACTGCCCAACTTTGTAGAACCTGTCAGAGTCCACACTCCTCAGACCTAGCTTTTAAGGATCCTGAATCTTCTCTCTTCCATGATACACTGTGTCATCAAAGAAACATTTTTGTGAAAGTTCTCCTAATCGAGTTTCATTAAATACTATATTGGTCCTAGTATAGTTCACATTTTACCCACATTTTACTTGTTTAAAATCTGAGTGGTCCATAAACAATGTGTTCAGTATATATTGCAGAATGATTGGAAAGAGAATTACAAAGACAAAATGAATAGTGATATTAAAGTGAATAAAAATCTTTATTTGAATTCAAAGAAATGTTTAAAATCCTTTTAAAATAAATGCCTTTCGGATATAGTAATTTTATGTTACTTCTCAGTGTATAACTACACAGCTTTCCTTTTCAAAGAGATGACCTATCTCAACCTCACTTTCCTCATCTATAAAATGAGAGGGTTGGATTAAATGACCATTAAGGAACCTTCCATTTCCAAGTCTATGATCTCTAAGGTCCTTTACACCAGATTTGTTCAGCTCAATTAGTATTCTTTAAACTAAAAAACATGGCTAGAGATTTGAATAATAGGTACCTGGAAATATATATCCAATTACAATGTGTCTTGAACAGAATACAGGATGCACTAGATATTCATAAGACCTGTTAAATAATATTTTTCTTTATAAAGAATTCAAAAATATGGTTTTGTATTTTGTATATTAAATGATATATTGTATATATTGTTTAGCAGCAATGAATGGGTAGGCTTGATGGCTGGTCATCCAGACTCTGTTTGGGGAGTTCCACAAATGGAGAACCTACTCCCAAGAGTTACCCCTCACTGGAGATTTCAAGAGGTAACTAGGATGACCACCTGGATATTGTTCAGGAATTAGTTGTATTCTATGGCCCCTAAAGTCCCTACCAACTCTGAGGCTTTGTGATTCTGTGAAAATTCCTGTTCCAAATGACTAAAGAAGTGCGAATTGAAACAACTCAATGCATACAAATCCATTTCATTGCCTACAAACTGGCAAAGATGAAAAATAAGGGAACAGTCAATGTTGGAGGGGCAGCAGAAAGTCAGGGCAAGCTACCAGGATCTCTAGAGGTTGGGTAACTTTCAAATGTCATCAGTCATTTTATGGTTTGCAAATGAAGGACACAACATGAAGGAAAGCACCAACAGGAAATAATATGCAGAAGGAAAGAGAGAGTACCTGGCTCTCTAGGAACTATGAATCTAGGCTCAGATTCTTAAAATCTGGCCAATGGCTGAGATTCAATCTAGCCCATTTGTCAATACAAGTGTCACAAATGTTCAGATTCCTTAAGAGTCTGGCCAATATAGTGAATCTTTAATAAACCTTATCTTTGGCTGAAAGAAGGCTTGGATTGAATTCATTTGGGTAGGACCTGTGTCACTATCTTAAGGTCCTAGCATCCCTAAACTGACCCAAAGAGTATTCATTAAGGATTTACTGTTGTTGGACAAGTAAGCTACACCATTTCTTAGGAAAGAGACACAGAAGGGCTTCTAGCACCTCTCTCACTAGCAGGTTCACTTTTGATCCAGTCGGACAGGAAGACAGGATTGGAGTTATAATAAGCGGTTAAATAAGCTTACTTTATTCTGGTCTAGTCTTCTCAAAGGGAGGTTTTGCTGATAATGGGAGCACCAACTCCTACAGCCTTCCCTAACAACTCTTCTCTCAAGGGCTGGCATGAAGAGGTGGGGCAATAGGGTCAGTTGAGACAAGCACAACTTGTACACTCCCCTAAATCTCCTCAAGCCTTAATGGGAGCCAGTTGAGGCAAGCACACAGATTCCCCCTCTGAAGCCTTGACAGGGGCCAATGAAGGCATTCCAGCTTGCACGTTCAACCCTATATTGGTCCCTAATCACTGACCAGTGCCCACTTGCTTTATAGGGCAACAGACAAAGAAGGCATATTGCCAGCAATAGCCTCACAATTTTACCTTACTTCATCTCTATATTTACTGTGACTGCAGTAGAAACTGTTTTCAACCATGATTGTGAGAACTCATATCTAACACCTGGGAAGTAGGAATTGTTACGGCTGTGAATCCTGTGAAGAAAACTCTAAGAAAGAATAACAAAAAATCCACTTCACACACACTAAAATTCACCTTACTTACAACCATTAATTTAGAAAGTCCACCCCCCCACATTGTACCCTAGATGCAGCACCCTCTGGATGCAGCCTGTGCTCCATTCCAGTCAACCTCCTCTTTTGGACTCCCTCGAGGCAGAGATAGCTCTACACCCCTTGCCAGCAGGAAGCAGTTTCAAAACCCGAGACCTTCTCCCCTTACCCCAAAGGAATTTGGGTCCCAGTGTTTGAGGGGAGAATGGAGGTGCAATCAGAACCCTGAAAAGATCTGCAGAAGGTGTGCCCAGGTCCATGGTCTTGAACCAAACCACTGGACCGAGAGCCTGAGTGTGTCAGGCTGAGTGACTGTCTGCCCAAAAAGCAACTCCAAACCTTCCTAGGTGCTTAGAAAGCAACCCTAACTGCAGGGAGAGAAGGTGAGAGGGAGAGAAGGAAGGCTTACATACTTTCCAATCTTGGCTGAGGAACTTGGGGTTAGGCAGTTTTCCCAGTCTCAGGGAACCAAAAATGTTGAAGTTTAGGGGTGCTAAGACCCCAAAATAGCAACATGCAGGTCCTGCCCAAATGAATTTCATCCAAGCCTTCTCTCAGCCAAAGACAAGGTTTATTAAAGATTCACCATATTGGCCAGACTCTTAAGGAATCTGAACACTTGTGACGCTTGTATTGACAAGTGGGCTAGATTGAATCTCAACCATTGGCCATATTTTAAGAATCTGAGCCTGCATTCTAGTACTTTCAAGCATCCAGCAGGACAGATCTCGGTATCAGTGAATCATTAGACTACAGATGAAGCTGAAAAAAACACAAGGTTATAATATTCTCTCCTTTCCCAGAGAGGGATTGTATCTGGACCTTATTGAGATATATAGAGACATCTGGCTTATGGAGCAGCTTTGTCAGTATTGCCAATGAACCCCTACTGAATTCCACTCCTGCCTTTGATTAATGATGTGAAGCTTCCCTCACAAAACTACTCTATATGTAGAGCCATAACTATGGTGGAGTGACTGGTGTGGTGGCCTAGGGCACTGAAATTTAGAAGGCATTTATCCTTGACATCTATAAGCAGATAGAAATCATTGAACTTAGCCCTTAGGTATCAATTTAACTTTGGTTAAAACACAAAGTTTTCAGGTGGCACATTTCCTCTCTGCTTTCTCACACCTCCGGTGAGCTTCTCTTGACCAGCTTTACTCTCCTTCCTAAATTCCACAAACACACCCCTCTATCCCATGGCAGCTTGGCAGTGTCCTGGACTCCCTAACCTGTCTCCCCTGCCTCTACCTCACAAATGAATTTGTCTTAAGAAGTTGATTTGAGGTATTTTGCATCATTAGCCTTGGACACATTTTGTATTGCTCACACTAGGTGCAAAAATGGCAAGTTATGGCTCTCTCCATATTTCACATTATCCATCAACAAATTAAGAATTACAAAGTACAATGGAAAGGGAAAGGAAACTGATGTAGATAGACAGCCACTCATATATTCTCTGCTCTTGTGAATTCCACAGAAATATCGAGAATAAATGAGAGGTGTGTATAAAAACCCATTAGCATTTTGGAGAAAAAAAAACAACTGTATAATTCAGTGTGTTCTTCCAATCAGATTTGCGTTTCATTACCATAAGTAAAGAAATAGTTTCTTAAGCCTTACGTTTTCCATAAATGCAACCAACCTTATCTACTCAGGAAAACAAGAAGGCAGAAAGCAGAAAAGAGAAAAGAATTGAGATAAAAACAATTTTCTTTTCAAAATCTTTTTTTTCCTCCAAATTGAGCTGTTGGAACAACACAGAGATAAGATAGGAAAGCTGCCTTTAGAAATGTATCTAAGTTGAGTTTTTCAAAAATACCATGTATAAAGAAGCAAACCTTCTATTTTGCTGTATATTGAACTAGGAATTATATTTAACTGGTCTATCATGTCAGTGGGTCACACAGCAATAAAGTCTCTTAATTTCTTCTATAAAATGCACTGAATCGACAAAAGAAAAAGCTAGGGTAAAAAATATTCAAGACACAATCTCTTGGAGAAACTAAATAGTCAGCACCTTTTAGACTGGGGTCAACCATGTGGGGTTGAATTTAAAATAAAAAATTAGAAGTGCCATGATTTTTCATAGTAATCAACTAATAAACTCTAGTCCTTTAAAACCTTTAAAATAAAATGCTAACATTTAAAAGTGGGTCAGTGTGAGGAGCTCATTCATCTAGATAATCCTGGCAATCAGATTTCGAGGCTCATTTCTCAGTTATCCAAGGAACATCTTAAGTGTTGGTCAAAAGGGATTTGCCCAGTTATGTTATTTCATTTTTGTATTCTTTCACAACTGAAGGCAGAACAAGGTCTCAGACACAGCCAAGACATGAAGGCTGCAGACTTTCGGTAGGTTCCAGGTCAAGGGCAGCTCATATAAGTAAACAAAAGCACTGTGCATCTTCCTTAGGCAACAACCTTTGTCTACTAACTACAGTGGTTGAGGAAGAAATAAAAGAGTATGGGCAACAGAGAAAGAAAAAAAAACACCCAGCAGTAATCTATTTCAGTTGATACATGGCAGCAATTCAGTAAGATTCATTAAGCACTTATGATATGGTTTCTGCTAGATGCTAGGCACACAAATACAAAAACATAAGTATATGCTTTCATGAGACTTACATTCTACTGGAAATGAAACAAAATGAACAAATCTGGTTTAAAAAAAACAGCTTTTTATTAGATATTTTTCTGACTCTTATACATAATAGGAAGAATGAGGTAACCTGCTATCATTAGATCTGAGAAATTGCTATCTCTACACTCACATGTGGGTAAAGTCCAGATTTTCCATCTCACTAACAACAATAAACCCAAGCTTTCTAGCAATCTAGTAATTGAAAGGATAGAAGATCAGAGTTGGAAGGAACCTCAGAGGTCATATATTGTAGCTCCTGTTCAAAAAGTAATCCCCTTTACATCCTCCTTAATGTGTAGCTCATCAGCCTCTACTTGAATACCTCTAGTGATGGGTAACTCACTACTCATCAAAGCAACCTGCACCACTTTTGGACTGCTCCCACCAGCTTCTAAACAGGATTTCTACACATCTCTAGTAACTGGCCCAACATTTTTTTTTTGCATAAAAAGTAATGTTTGCTAGTGATGCTCCTGAGGCACCATGAGGAAGTGATGTGTTTTCTGAATGACCACAGAAAGATTACACCACATTCAGTTTAGATTTAGTGTTGGGTTCAGCAGATTTTATTGTACACTATTTGAAAGTAGTTCATCCTGACATGGGATAACCAACAGCTTCCTATCAACTAAGATCCATTTACCTGGTCTTAGCCTTCTCTGCCCTGCCACCCCCTCTACTGCCCCATCCCCCCACTAGACTGTAAGCTACCTGATGGCAGGAAGCATGTCTTATTCATCTCTGTATCCACCGGCACCTAAGACTGTGCTTTGCACATAGGAGGCACTCAATAAGTTTGTTTTGAGTGCGTGGAATTATTGAACTTTCCTTTTGTGAGAATTCGAGTTTAAAGTTCTCCAAAGGAAGAGCTGAGACCATGAGGTTTCCCTGATGGTTTAAATACACATGATGAGTCCTCCTAACTAAGGACTATAATCTTAACTGTAATCATCTCTTAGAACAAGGCCAATGGTAGGGCTAGTTTAGTCCTTCCTTGGAGCTGGGCAGGGTTCTGGATCCTTCTGCACATGGACATGTGTTTCCTAATCACAACACAGACATTTTTCTTATTCTCTCCCCTTGTCTCTCTCCTACTTATAATTCTGCAAAGAAAATCCATGGTACTTTGGCTGGTTGCCCTGAGTTCCCAAGGGAAAATTCAAGTTCTGTTCCAGGTCCATCTCTTTAGGGGCTTGGAAATGGAAGGTGGGACAGTTCCTTATGGCCATCGGCCAAGTAGGTCAATCCCGGCTTTTTGGGATAAGTGAGGCTGGCCATTTTAAAAAACTCTTCTGCGGCATCAAGAGTAATGAGACGATCCTGTCAAAGCAAAATGCAGAGGCGTGAGGCAGGGCTGCTCTCTCAGGGTAGTGACAAAAGACTCTCAAAGTCACAGCTGAAATTCCTACATGATGACATCATTTGTTAACATTTACCTTTAACTTACATGAACTGATGCGAAGTGAAATGAGCAGAACCAGGAGAACACTTATACATTGTAACAACAATATTGTACAATGATCAACTGTGAATGACTCAGCTATCCTCAGCAATACAATGACCCAAGACAATTCACCTCCAGAAAAAGAACTGATGGAGTCTGAATGCAGATCAAAGGATACTTTTTTTTCTTACTGTATTTTTCTTGGACTAATATGGAAATACGTTTTGCACGACTGCACCTGTATATCAAAATGCTTGCCTATTCATGGAGAGGGGTAAGGGAAGGAGGGATGGAGGGAAGTAGATAATTTAGAACTCAAAATTTTTTTTAAAATGAATTTAAAAATTGTTTTTACATGTAATTAGGAAAAACTAAAATATTAAATAAACATTTACCTTTAGTCAATAAATACATAATTATTTAACACTTTGTTTAAATTTTATTAAGTATTTCCCCCTTTGTTGAATATCTCCAATTTATCCTGTCTATAGCTTATTGATACATGGTTGTTCAGATGTTGTCTTTCCTGTTAGACACTGACCTCCTTCAGGCACATGAGCACACACACACACACACACACACACACACACACAACACACACACAAATATCCCATAGATATGTCCATAGTTGACAATGTCAGAGCTAGATATGACCTTAGAGATCATTTACTCAAGTTCCTCTTTTTACAAAGGAAGAAACAGAGGCCCACTTTTCTATTTAAACAAGGCTACTTGTAACTCTTCTTTTTTCAGTCGCATTGCTGTATCAATAATCAAGCAACAAGCACTTATTAACATTATTAAATTTAAAATTAATTTTAAAATTCAAATAAAATTTGTTAAATTTAATTATTAAAATGAGGATGTTCATAATATTATTAACTATTCACCTGTATATAGTACTTCATGGTTCACAAACACATTTTCCTCACAACTCTGTGAGTGCAAATATAATTACCCTTCCTTGAATTTTACAGATGAGAAAACTGAGGTCAAGGGAAGTAAAGTGATTTGCCAAATATCAGCCTTGGAAAATTTCAGAGCTGAGATTCAAATCCAGATCTCCAGTCTTATAGGTTTTTCCTCTGAAGGCCCTCCCAACCCTGACCTTCTGTGATCCATTGTTCCAAGACCATACCGCCTGATTCCTGGGTGCCCTGACTAACTCATAGGGTTCTTGTGAGCATCAAGAGAGATGAATATGTATGTATGAGAAATGTATGAGAATGTATGAAAAAATTCTCTGTGACTTTAAAACCTATATGAATGTTAGCTATCATTATCATTATCTTTCACCAACAGGATTTCTCACTTGTTGACTATTGCAAAGATACTGACTGATGATGAGGCAATGGAAGGAGTGCCAAATGTGGAGTCAGAAAACCTGGGTTCAAATCCCAGTTCTGCCACTTAAAACTTAGGTAATCTTGGAGGTCACTTAATATCTCTTCATCTGTAAATCATCTGTAAAATGAGGAGGTTGGACTGAGCTCATTTATAAACACGTCCCCAACGTGTGACTCATCAACCTCCACTTGAGTATCTCCAGGGATGGGCAACTCACTACTTATCAAAACAAAATCTCTTGGGTCCCTTCCAGCTCTAAACCTATGATCCAAAGACCTTATGACCAAATCCTAGGCCTGCTAATTACTACCTGTGTAACTTTGACCTCTCTGGGCTTCAGCTTCCTCATCTATAAAATGAGGAGGTGTGGGTGAGGTTAAATGATCATTAAAGCCATTTCCTGCTTGAAAATCCCATGATCCTATGATCCTATGATACGGTGGAAAGTATACTAGACAGATTCAGAAGACCTGGTATCTGGAGATACAAATAAATGTAAAAGTTTTCAGTGTGGTCACAGTCTAATTGGAGAGACAACAAGCAAACAGATATGTACAAACAAAGTAAATATGGGATAAATGGGAAATAATTAACAGGAAAGCATGTTTTAGTTAGGGAAGTCAAAGGAATGATAAGGAAGATCCTTCCCAGCTACAATCTCTATGGCGCCTTCCCAATTCCTCTAAAATCCCATGACCTGTGACCCAGAGCTCAATTCCCTATGCCATTAGATACCTTCTTATTTGCCCTGTTCAAATCTTAATGTCTCAGACTATTTGTATAAGGGGCAAGAGGGAAATCCAGGGAACAAAATCTACCTTCAATGAACTGTCTCATCAGCTCATAGCCAACAAAGGAATACCAAAGCTAGATTTGTCTCAAAGTCTAAGATGAGTTGGTGGAGAGGGTTGAAATCTCTCACCAAGCCTAGTCCTAATATAAATATTAGGCCAGTAAAAGCAAATAAGTCAAGAAATAAGGGAGGCACTGAGGTCAACAAGCCTCCAAGGCTTCTTCTTAAGACAAAAATTTAAAGAGCCTATGTGTAAGTCATTATGTCAACCACCTTCCCTCCACCCACTGACTCTCAGATCACAAAGAGAATGCTTCCTGGGATTCCACTGTCACATGCCACCTTCAACTTGAAGGTCTAGGAAATACCAAAATCCATTCTTTCACACGCTAAGCAGAAAAGGCACGAGAGTTTGCTGTAATTTTAGGGCAAAGAAAGCAAAAAGTCATCTACTTACCACCACAAAGAGGTACCTCTCTGAGAGCTCCCAATTTGTTGGGAAAATATTTGTCTCTTCAGCAAGTTTTAACAATATCTCCCGTGCTTTCCTCGTGTTCTGAGAGTCACTGATGGTGCTGAGTTTAGTCACTGATAACAGGGAGTCTGCTTCCTTCTGAAAGCCTAGAACAGAAAAGTTCACAATTGTAAAGCAGTGGTTTGACTAGAAAATGATTTCCCTACAGGGAAATGATTGTTTTCATTGGGATGCATGGGAGAAATCTTCTGTATCCCTCTCCCATCTCCTTGCAGCCTCTCTTCCACAACCCTGAGTATTCATTGCCTCCTCACACCCTTATGCTTCTTTCTGGGTACCCAAAGCCACAGGTGGGAAGATCCACCCATCTCAGCCAGCCCTCCTCCTTAAAACTATGCACTTCACTCTTCCTTCTGGTTACCTATGGATCCAAGCTGCCACGTGGTGCAGTAGAAAGGAGCACTAGACTTGGAGTTAGGAAACCCAGTTCAAATGCCAATTCTACTATTTATTAGCTGTGTGTGACTAACTCTGATTCTCAGTTTCCTCTTTTGTGAAATGGAGATAACAGAGGAGTAGCTGCTTCACCAGCTAGAGAGCTGTGTGTGACTCCTTATCATTCCCCTAACAACCCAATTAAAATAATTCATGCTAAAGTGTGAATTGTATGGTTCTCTAAGAATGTTCACATTTTAGAACGAGAGCTCTAATATGAATCTCCAATGATAAGTCCAGCAGAACCAAACCCCAGGCCAAAAGAAGAGAGCAGAATCACTTGACTCTATGTTATTAAAAGGTTATAACCCCCACTTTAGCATATTTCTGCTTCCATAAAGGAAGACTTGCCTCCTTTGAGATTCATAAGATCATAAACCAAGAGTTAGAAGGAACCTTGGAGACCATCAGATCCAACCCTCTGATTTTACAGATGAGGAAACTGAGACAAACAGAGGTTATATGATTTGCCCAGGGTCACAAAGCCAATAAGTATCTGAGATAGAACTCCTGATCCCAAGCCCAATGCTTTATCCAAAACTGATAAGGATAATTATAGCTCTTACCTCCCAGGGTTGTTTTGAGGATACAATAAATAAGTAACACCATATAATAATATAATGTAAAATAAAGTGCTTTGAAAACCTAAAAGCACAATAAACACTATCATCATCGTTATTATTATTAACAAATAAATGATTTTTTTAAAGTGCAAAAAAAATTATTGTATTTGATACCTGTATAAGCAGGGTGATAAGAATAATAAAGCTAGCATTTTGTATATAGCAAGGTTTACAAAGTGTCTTGTCTTATTTGATTCTCAATAACCCGGTGAAGTAGGTGCTATTATTATCCCCATCTTACAGATGAGGAAACTGAAGCTCAGAGAGGTTAGGTTTCTTGCCCAAGGCCATGCAGCTAATGAATGTTTGAGGCAGGATTTACACTCAGGTCTTCCTGATTGTAAGTCCAGCACTCTACCCACTACATACTCCCTAGGACCACATAACTTTAGTGGAATAAAAATATGGTACTTGAAAACCAAGGTGTGTGTATATATCACTGAGACATAGTGAATTATGAGATAATGAGAACATTATGGGCCTTTTTTTTTAAGCCATTACATGTCTTTAAGAGAGAAATTAGTGAGCAAATAATTCACACAGAGTAATCAGGCAATTACCGGGGCACTTTTAGTCAAATCAAAAAAACAAAACAAAAAATCCAAGGAAGATAATTTTGGAGGAAAATGTTTTTCTATGTCAGAACATTTTTGTAAGAATGTGTGCACAGTGAAAAAAAAAACACACCAAACCTCATTAAATAATCATAGCCCCTCAAAATGAGCCTGGTAATCCTACCAGAATCCATACCTAAATCTTCCAAAATGCGTTTCCATCTGTTTCTCACTTCCCTTCGAGTTCTCCGTAAGGTGTAGATGTCGTAGTTGAGCTTTTGCCACTCCTGTAGGATAATCATAAAACAAAAAGTCACCTTTACTTGTACCTCCCAAAGTGTCCCTATAGCTTGCTCTCAACTTCCAGGCTTTTTAAGCAAATGGGGCCAAAGAACTTGTAAGCCATCTATCTCCTCCTTAGTGTATAAAAAGCAGTTGCCATAGGTTCAAACACACTACCACCCGGATCCTACTATGGCAGAGCCCTGGCTGCCATTAATGAGGAAGCATCAAACAGCTGCATTTCTCTACAGTCTGCCCTATCTTCCCACTGTGGGGGAAATGGAAAGCTTACAGATTTTGAGCTAGAAGAGACCATAAAGTCTTCCCAGTCCACCCCCTCATTAGACTACTTCCTGCCTGAGGAATTTCTACAGCAGCAAATGAAGTCTTGCACTGTGGAACCTGAGCCTTTCACTGCTGAATTGGAACCGAAGGCGTCAACACCAGTAGGAGTCCCCTGCCAGAGTGCCCTAGAATGACCCGACCAGTTCAAGGAAAAGTAGGCTCAATGTCTGGTAGACTAGTGCCAACTTTAGGCTAATAAGAAGAAAGAATGTTAAACCTATGATCCCATGAAATCTGGCCTTGCAATCAAAGCTCTCCCAGCTTTGTAGGATTCCAACAGAGCTTGCACTCCCCTGATGTAGCATTCAAGAATCCGGGGTCACCCCCTCAGTTCCATGCAGATGGTAGAACTCCAGTGGTAGGTATCTCATGACAGGAGCAGGCCTAAGAACAAAACCCAGGCCCCCATCTTCTGAGCTAACCCTGCCTTTCTTGACAAAGGGTACTTCTTAGGCGCTCAATTATCCAAAATTGCCCAATTCTGCAGACTTCCTGTTCAGCTGCTCTTATAGGAAGCCTCCTTGTAGGTCATAATTTTGAAATCTGAATCCACTCTCTTCAAAGGAAACTTGAGAGCTAGGTATTTTTCAAAAGGGCAGTTACTGGGAAGTGTTTTTGCAAGGGTCCATAAGGGGGTCACGTTATAAATGATCATTTTCATACCTCCCCAACCCTCTGTTTCCTGGAGCTTGACAAAACAAGAATGTTGGCCCCATGTATTCACCATAAAGCCCTATTGCAGTGGCTCTGTCTAAAAGGATGTGCTTCTAAATGCTCTAAGGGGTAAGTCTCATAATACCTTGGCTCCTCCAATTTCATGGAAAACTCTTTTCTCTTCAATGAAGACCTTTATTCTCCAGGCTAGTTTACTATTTCAAGGCCAACCTTGCTCCTCGCACATAGAGTTTGATGGCCAGTTAATTCTCACAGATCGGCTCACACTGTGTGAAGTCACAAATAAAGAGAGGGTTCCTTGAATGCTTTATCATGATGACATGTGCTGACTAACCTTTGTGGCCCCCAGCTTTGGTGTTGGGATTTACAGGAGAAAAGTAACGATCAATTTGTACTGGTATCATGTCCTGGAAAAGGCATTGATCTTGGACCCAAGAAATCATAGTGGAAAGGGCAAGGGAAGGGAATGAGCATATATCAAGGACCTACTCTGTGCCAGGCACTGTGCTAAGTATTCTACAAATATTATCCCATTTGATAATATTAATATTAATCAGAGAAGTATAGATTTGGAACTAGAAGAGGCCTTAGAAGTTACCTAATTTAATGCTCTCTTTTTTTTATACAAATAAGGAAACTGATACCCACAGATGTAAAGCGACTTCTTCCCCCCACTCAATAAACCCTAGTGGCTCCTTATTTACCTCCAAGGTCAAGGATCGAGGGCAGCTAGGTGGTACAGTAGATGGACTTGCAGGTGTGGAGTCAGGAAGGCTTATCTTCCTAAGTTCAAATCTCACCTCAGACACTTAGTAGCTATGTGACCCTGTGCAAGTCACTTAACCCCATCTGCCTCAATTTCCTCATCTGTAAAATGAGCTGGAGAAGGAAATGGCAAACCACTCCCACACCTTTGCCAAGAACAGTACCAACAAAATAAAGTATCAAGTCTAAAATTCACTTCTTGGCTTTTAAAGCCTTTCACAACCTCACTTGTACTTTACTCCCCACTACATACCGTACAATATAGTAATGCTGGCCTTCCTGCTCTTTCCCACATGAGACAGTCCATCTCCCAAGTCAATACCATTCCATTGGCTGTCCCCCATATCTGGTTTGCTCACCCTCTTCACCTCCACCCTCCTGGTTTTTCCTGATTTCTTGTAGGACTCAGCTCCAATCCAACCTTCTACAGGAAGCCTCTTCCACCACTACATGCAATGGTACACATTACTTTAAACATAAAAGAATAATAGGAAGATAGTGACCTGACCCAGACCTATTCCTATCAAACTAGCTGAGATAAATGAGAAGATTATCATTATTATTATTGGCTTTATATAGCACTTAAAGCGTTCAAAATGCTACATGTGTATGTGTATGTGTACATACATACACGTGTGTATATGTGTATATATGTATAAAATCTCATTTGATCCCCACAATTATGTGAGACAGTCATTATTGGTGTTGTTTCTACTTTAAAGATGAAGAAACTGAGGCTCAAACAAGGTCTTCAGAGAGTCAAAAAGTGTTTAAATTTAAAATCCTTAAAATTTAATGACAACTTATGAGCCTTAAATTCCAACAATTTCCAGGTCCCGTGACCACAAGATGGAGGACTAGACATTTTCTCTGACCCTGAAAATGACTCAAATGTCTCCAAAATAGGAATTAAATGCAAAAGATAAAGCAATTTCACCTGTCTAGGACACCAAGAACCAAATGAGGTAACAATTCAATGTGCTAACAGCTGAGAAGGCTAATCTCTAATCCCTAATGTAATTACTCAGCAACTCTTCCCATTAGCCACTATGCTCTGAAAGGGCTATACAAGCCAATCCAAAGTCTTGCCATAGAAATGAAATGGCTTGTTCTGACTGGGACTGCAATTGGAAGTACTCTGTGTTATATCAGAGCTCAGCCAGAGAACTGAGAAACCTAGGGCAGAATGCCAGCAGGGTTGGCACTCCACTAAGTCTGAAGGAAAGAGCCCAGCATCCAGCCAGTGCCATTTCTGTCTCTCTATAAGCCACTTGGGGGCTCAGATTGAGGCCTGCAAAACATGAATTCCCCATTATGCTGAAGATTTATTTAGTTTTGAGGTCCAGCTCCCAGGGAAATCATCAAAGAGGAAAGAGTCAAAAACTGAGCAAGAGGGGAAAACTGAAATTAGCAAATATTTTAGGAAGAAGAAAACTCAGTTAAAGTTGTCAAGCATAAGCTCAATATTTTAAGATATGAAAAACAGAAAGTAATAAAGCTTCTAGATCAACTAAATAAAAACAGACATGTATAAATATTATAAGACAAACAAAAATGAAAGCAACAACTGATTAGACAGAGGAAATTGGATTCCTAAGAGAAAATGGAACCACAATAGGATGTTCCATAATGATAGAAAAGAAAAATAAGAATTGTGAAAACATAAAACACAGTGCCTGACATACAGTAGGTGCTTAATAAATGTTGATTGAGTGACTGAATTTATGGCCTGTATGGCAGAAATAATTGGCAAAATAGAAAAACTTGAATTCATAGTGGCCAACCTTATCAAAGAAGCAAAAGAGGATAATTGATTGGTAATGCAAATATACAGAAGAAAAAGACAGCCTGGAAGAAAATAAACAAAAAACCAATAATGTTAAGAAAATATAATCTCTATACAAGCAAAACATTGATCTCAAAAACATGATGCGTGGACAACTTAAGGATTGTAGGTCTCCTAGGAGAACATGAAAAATTAAAAAAAAAACCTGAACATTATAATGCAAGAAAAAATAAGAAAATTACTCAAAATTTCTAAATGTAGAAAAGTGGCAAGTAAAATTATCCAGATTGCCTACAGAAAAAAAAACCCTATGCTGTAAAACTCCAAAACACAGTCATTCAATTTAACAATTCCATTAACAATAATAAATTCTTCAAGGAACCAAGAGAAAAACCTTTAAACATAAAGGAAAAAAATCGAATAACAAAATTATTCTGCCCTCCCTAGAAACCATGAGGGAATAGGAAAATGGGCTCCAAATAGCAAAGGAGCTCAAGAAGTAACCCAAAATGATATATCCTGAAAACCTGAGCCTGAAAACAATGAAAAAAATAGAGTCTTAATTTTTTTTAAAGAGGCTTTTAAAACATTCCTACCATATCTCCTGCAGAAATGGGTATGTCAACAAGTGAGATATAATAGGTGGGGAAATGGCCCCGAAGGCAAGGTCTGTAAGACAACAATATAAGAGCTGTTTAGAAGAAGAAATGAAAAATACCTATCTTACAAGAGAGAAATATAGAGACTGAAGATGAAATAAAGAAGCATAAGTTCCATGAATCAAAGAGTAAAAACTCTAGAAAAGACAGGAGGAAAATAATGAAGAAAACAAGGTGGGGAAGGGGAATCCTTTTTAGAAAAAAAACACAGAAAATGAACATTTTAAACTGAAGAGTAATGAAGTAGGAAGGGGAAGGGATTTCCTTGACTACTTAAGAAAAGATAGGAAGATTTAAATGATTACATAAAAGTGAGAAGTTAAACAAAATTCTGGAACTAGGAAAAGGGATAACAAATGGAGGAAGATGGCTTTGAGGGTGAGAACAGAGCCTTTAGGAAAAGGGCTATGTTAAAGTATATTAAGCTAAAAATAACTAGAGACAACATGTCTTTTCAGAAGAATAAAGGAGGAAAATCTGATTGGGGGAGGGGAAATCATTAGAGACAAATGGAGGAAAATACAAATCTCTCATAACTTTAAATGTGAATGGGTTAAACAATCAAATAAAATGAAAAAAGTGAGATTTGATAAGGAAACAAGACCCCACAATCCATTGCTTACAAGAAACACACCTAAAAAACAAAGACACAAACCGAATAAAAATTAGTGGCTAGAACACAATTTACTATAGCTCAAGTGAATTTTAAAAACCAGGAATTGCAATTATGCTATCAGATAAAGAAAAACAAACATTCATAACATAAAAAGAGAAT